CTGTATATATATATATATATATATATATCTTCAACATTTTGGTGTTTTAAGGCTCAGGCTAGTATATTGCTTATACACAGGTCAGACACTTTCTGTAAACGTCGAACACATTGTATTTTTGCCATCATTGATATTAATTTTTAAATGTTGAATAGATTACCTTAATTTCCACCAATCATAATTTTCCGCGCGTCCACAAAATTACCTTACCCTAGCTAAAGCCGGTTTTCCACTAGGTGGAATTTTACTGCTCGTGGAACGGAATTTTTATTTGTCTTTTCTAATTAGTTCCACCCGAGAGCCCAAGCTGAGATGAAAAATTCCGCTCCGTCTAGTGGGAAACTGGCTTAAAGCCGTCGTGCTGGCTAGACTTGATATATTTTTTGTACAAGTATCACGACAGGGAAACGAAGCAAATACAAAGAATCTTTGGACTGTGTTTCATATTTTAAGATTACAACATTTTGACTGGTATGTATATAAAAAACGCATTAATAATTCACGAGGAAATGGCAAAGGAAATCACTGCCCGGTGGTTTTATACGTGACAAATATATGTTAATTTACATAAACTTTAGCTTTGAATTTCTCGGCATAGACAAGGTTTATTTTTAAACTTCGCCAATTAACTCATCAGATGCGTTTCAATGCTTTATCAGATATAAAACACTCGTGCTGAGCAGTCATATTTTATATCTGATAAAGAACTCCTAGGCGTGCTTTAATTAAAATAGTACTTAAAAGTTATATTCAGTAGATTCCGAATACAATCTATGGATTCAGTCGGTGTATGTGCCATGTCATTAATAGTTTTATAGCAAATGAATATCAATCTTAAGAGGAACTTCACTGACTAGCTTTCCTAGTGTCTTGCATGCAATTATCTTATTATAATAGCTTCCTTTATAAATTGTTCAACTCGTTTTCTTTTGCTTCCCATCAGCCATCTCCTAGGAGTGACAGACCGGAGATATACAATTAATGCGCTATGCTTTAGGACTTCCCTACTTCCAATAGGTCAGGCAATATTCTGTATAGCTCAAAATTTGTTTCTGGTCACAATCCATTCGAAACTTGATCACCACGACATGAATTTGGGAGCAAGCAAGTGTAAGACAATCTTTTTATAATAAAAGACAGATGTGCATCTAATCTCGCCTTAATTAACCGCAATTAAACGAATTAGAAATCAGGGAAAGCCTGCAGAAAACACAAAAGAATAATCTGCCCGCTGTCAAAAGTAAGCACCTGTCGGTTTTTATGCAACTGGAAATACTTAGCCACTTCCCACAGTTTAAAAGTTAAAAAAAGTCTCTCGCTTGAGCATTCATTTACAAGCAATCATACGTTTTTGTTATTGTAATTTGAAACACCGTAAACAACGATGACAACCATGCACAATGATGTATCTCACTGCTAAATAGAAATACATATGTGTCTCACTGCTAAATAGAAATACATATTTTTAGGTTAGATGGAAAACGCGGACATATACGGACACGCGGACATTACATAAGGGATATACTTCCAACTTCCTCCCATTGGAACCAGTGATCATTATACGATTCTTATGAAAGCCCAACCTTCTCCCTCAAAGCCAGACAATTCACATATATGGAAACGCGATCTCAGAGATAGCAGGATACGGCCTTTTGGACGATATATCACTACATTTGACTGGTCTCCTATCTTGGACATACATGACTGTGATACAAAAGATAAAAAGTTTAACGATACAATGACTGTGATGATTGAAAAATTCTTTCCCTTGGAACGGATTAAAGTACGAAAGTGTGATAAGCCTTGGATGACGTCATCAATAAAGTCTGCTATTGGGAGACGCCAAAAAGCCTTACACGAAAGCGGGAAAAATTCAGATATTTATAAATATTGGCGTAACAGAGTCCAATCATGCATTAAAGTTGTACGAAAGATCTACTATATGAGGTCAGTTGAGAAATTAAAAAATTCTAACCCGGCAAGATGGTGGAAAGAAGTGAAAGCCATTGGTGGTCTCTCGTCAAAAAATTCTTGGTATTCTCAGCTATTTTCTGATGATGTTCGGAATTGCGAAGAACTGGCCGAAAATTTTAATAACTTTCTTACTGCCCTTACATCACATTTTGACCCTCTAACTCTCGACGAAATCCAGGAGGGCCTAGAAGTACCAAACCATTACCTCGTTGACGCCCAACAGATCTATATGAAACTTAGTAAAATTAAAACCACAAAATCACCGGGTCCTGACATGTTTCCAATTAAAATCCTGAAAACATTTGCCTTTGAGCTTGCCCCAGTTATCTCAGACATTTTCAACTCATCCATGACACAAGGCACCTTCCCAAAGGCATTGAAGAGATCTATTGTAGTGCCTGTCCCTAAGGTAT